GAAACCTGTCTTGTCTCCATCTCTCGTGTCTCTTGTCCCTTGTCATTCTCACTCCCCCTCTAGGGTCTCCGTTGACTTACCCGCAGGCCGGGACACATTGCTGGCATTCAAATAGCCAAAAATAAGACTTACCTAACAGCATCTGTATCAAACTGCAGATTAGGTTTGTCAATCAGTCCCAAGGAATACAGCTGATAAGCCAGAGCACATTTTCCCACCATAAACTGCGCTGTGTTGGTGCGATCTAAACAGTCCACACAGTTGGTTCGAAGAATGCCAGTCTAAAGAGAAATACTTAAGATTTTCAATCATTATTCAATTACCAACACTATTTCCACACTACACAAGAATGCTTTTATTAAAGAAACAGAAGAAAGACTGTGGGAAAATATTATTTCTCAGCAAACAAAGTAAAGTGAAAGGTAAAATAACAAACAACATTTAAAAATTATATAAGGTTAAATGTGCTGTTCACTTACTGCCATAATAGCATCGATAAACCTAACATACATATATACATATATATACATATATATGACCGTATATATACAACTACATATATGACTTTACTTCTTTGAAAGTTTAACAAGATAAAATGGTAACATCTATCAATTAGTAAAATATTGCATGGATTTTTTCTGATATATTTCCTTTATTGTACAAACTAAATATTCAATGGTTAAAGCCACATCATTCTTAAAGCATTGTTCACAACTATGGTGTAAATTGGGTTGTTTTCCAAAGTTGTTCTGATTTATTCTTTTCACATTCCTATTTGTAATAATGAAACAATATATAGAAAAATTCATAAGCCATATTACTTCAGCTACACATCCATAAGATTTAAATAATAGCAAAAGGCTTTTAAAAATCATTTGCAAGTGATTAATAATTCTGTATTAAATAAGATATATCTCTCTCCACAGTTGCTTACAGAAAACACACATTGTGGATACAAATTTTATTCATTATGAATATATTTTCAACTGTACCTGCAGGCGACCAGTGGGTATCACACATCCTCCTAGTTCATTCCACCTGTGTTTAAAAATAAGTATTATAAAAGATTTGTTTTTTCTAGAGCTAGGGATTGAACTCAGGACCTGAGCACATCATGTGTTCCACAACTGAGCTATATCCCTGGCCTGCTTGTTTTTTAAAAAAACGGCATAATATATATTTCTTTTTGGTACTAGCTTTTTGGTAAGAATCACAGAATAAAAAGAACAGATCTGAAGGCACCTGGGCAGCCAGCTGATTCTGCACTCTCATTCTTTCTGGTGAGTGAATGGGCAAATAACTAAGATAGGCTGCTCACCATGTTCTTCTCAAAGACAGCCTAGGAAAGGTTCATCTGAATGAGCCCAGTGCCTGAAACTCTGGCATTTTGTCACCAATTTTTAACCACAGTCTGCCTTGCTTCCATTTAAGCTCATTTCCTGTTAGATTTCTATAGACACACAAAATACAGGGTACTTTTCTAATAAAACTTCCCATGCCTTAGCCTTCTCCACTGGATACTAGGATTTTCTATCTTCTCCAGCATTTCTTTACAAAGACTTTGTTACATTCCTGTGCAATCTGTCTTTGCACAGTTCCTTTTAGAAACTACCTATTTTCCCCAAATGGATAGGAATGTGCTATACAATACTGTCATGATATTAACATTTTACTTAAGTTATTTAAAAGAAGGTACTAGGCAGATATTAGCTATCCTAAGAAAGGCCTATTTACAAGGTTGGCCCTTGGCTGGCACCTGGGACCTTAGATTTTAGGACAGGTCTGTCATTCGCAGAACTGATAAGTGGCTCATAGTGCCTCGACTATTTGTAGAAACAACACAGCTTTTGCTGAACACAGCTTTTGCTTTCTTTAGGGAGTCTGAAATTTTGACATTGCCCAGTAGAGGCTACTTTGAAGACTAGGCTCCAACTAATCAGCTTTCCTGCCTGACGGCCCTGTATAGATATAATAACAGACACCATCAAAACTTGCTTTGAGGGGAACTGTGTTCTATGTGACTCCACTGGAAGAAGACTCTGGAAGCTTCTGCCTAGTTTGCTCTGAATTTGTCCCTCATCTTTTCCCTTTACTAATTTCACTTCATATCCTTTCCACATAATAGGTTACTTCCAGAGTACAATAAGAAGTTGAGTCCTCTGAGTTTTAGAAGTACTGAACCTGGGAACCTAGGAATAGTTATGGGTGCCCCGTCCAGATGCCTAACATTCAAACTACAACAATGCAAACTATAACAAAATAATTACTTCCAAAAATATATACTAATAGCTTTTTGGTTTTTGTCATTTGCTCACTGAAGTTAACTATGTTAATCGAAAACAAAAGGCTGGAAATATATAATACTGATCCTTTACAAGATAAGTTAGGCATAGATCCTTGATCTGAAGAACCTCACAAAATAGTAATGAAGATTTTTGAGCAAGTAATTATAAACAATAATAGATACTGTTTTCATAAAAATACTAATGTTTAATCCAGCAGAAAAAATTTCCCTGATTCTACTAATTATGGAACAGTAGAATTCATTGTTGAAAAGTTTATCTTATAGGCATATTTTATTCAATGTTTATCCCACAAAGCCAGAGCTCAGCCCCTACAGCTTCTATCTATGTGTACTTTTTTTTTTTGGTATCGGGGATCGAACTCAGGACCTTGCGCTTGTGAGGCAGGCACTGTGCCACTGAGCTAAATCCCTGGCTTCTCTATCTCAGTGTATACAACCATGAGAAGAATCTCAGGCTCACAGTGAACACTTACTATTACATATGTCTATGATAGCAGCTTGCTTCCTTAAAGGACTAAATTCATCCATCTACCAACTAGTACAAACTATTAAGAGGCAGAATATTGTTGTCTATAAGAACAAACTCTTGATTTATTTAAAGTTTTAAAATTGATACGTACTTTTCATCTGGCCTTAAAATGCTACAGTAAGAATCAGGGCGGTTTACAAAGAAACCTGTTTTCTTCACCACACTTTCTGCAATCACATTTAGTCGATCAAGAACATTGCACAACTTGCTGGGGAAAGAAGTAAAAATGGACAAGTGAGAAGAACCTAAGTTCTACTATATATTTAATCTCATATCTAAAGCAAATAAATTCCATAGCAATGATATTCATGTATTTTTTTAAAAAAATCTCTTGGCTTGTATGTAATAGGAACATTGTAATAATGTCAGAAACGTAGGTGTACTCAGTGACTAACAACATTTGATGCAACAGAGACCTACAGGACTTGTAACTTAGAATCACATATTGGCATTCCTTAATCTTGGAACTGGTTATCCCTACAAGAGCTTTTTTCAAAGCCTTTCACTGCTGAGGAGTTGTCAATCAAGTCAGTATGCTTTCATAAAATGATTGTGTCAAGAGCACCACACATAACATGAATGGCAGAGGAAGAAAAAATTGGGAAATAAATAATATTAACTGGAACAATCAAAAGCAATTAAATTTGGGAAAGTGTGTGTGTGTGTGTCTAACTACATAAAATGCTTTAGAAAAAAGCACAACGAGTCAAGTACAAAACAATATGGGTAACATCAAAAAAATGTAAAATATACCTGTGCTTATATGACGCATAGTAAATGAGTAAAAGATCTAAAGAACATTCCTTAGAACAGGTGAGTTTGAATCACATCTTGAACAACAAAGGGGGGGCACCCCATGGAAGGTGAGCAGCAACAGGAAAAAAGGCTTGAGAATGGGACCTTGGCTGCTACATTCGGGGCAGAGAATAAAGATTTGCTTTCCAGGAACAGAAAAGACCTTGGAATACATAAAGTTATTACATTCTGGAACCAACCAGATGACGAGGCTTTAACATTACACTAAGGAGCCTAGATTTACTATGAATAGTCAGGAGTTACTATGGGTTCATGCACAAGTGGGACAGGCTGACAGAATGAAATAGAAAAAAGGAAACTAAAGCCTTTAAGAATGGTAGAGTAGTGATCTTCTGAAGTGACTAGATACTTCAAACAGAATTCCCAAATACTATAAATAGGCAAAAAGAAAATTTGATCTATTCATTTAAGCACTCAAAAGACCCCTCAGCAGATTCATGAAGGAAACTGAAAGAGTAACATTCATTTTACTATAGAGACCTGCAATGTTACTACAAAAAGAACTGTCACAAGAGTATCACTCACCTTTTGGTGTACTTGGCCATATCCCAAGGAATATAAACAATAGTGTGCTCAGGAGGCAAAAACTGATTAAGGTAGGTCACAGCAGCAACTAGTTCTTCACTCAGAATTCTTTCATGCTTTCTTTTCTCTCTCTCCTTTGTGAAACAAAATTATTTTAAAAATTAAAAAAATGTAAACATGCCAGCATAATTACCTTATGTCAGAAGAACAATCTTTAAACATTTTTACTTCTCAGCTAGACAAAAAGCTTGAATCTTAAATATGAAACCTATCTACTAAAATGAAAATATTATATATCTTTCACTAGAGTCAACAGATAATGAGCATTTGCTAGGCAGACTCAGCATTGCTGAGCTACATCCCTCAAGAGCTGTCAAAAGCTAAAGACACCAGATTTCTCCCAGCTGACCTCCCTGCAGCCTCCAGATGCTCAGCTCACCCCACCCAGGCCTGACCCACACACCCCTCAGCCACTCCCATAGGAGATGCTCTCCACTTCAGGACCTCCCAAAACAACCAGCTGTGGCCAGTGAGAAATCAACTGGGTCTGGGTGGACAATCCCCAAACTAGTCCACAGAGCAGAGTACTCCCATAGCCTTTCAAAAACCCTGTGAGAAGGCAGGTGCTTTCTTCCTGTTAAAAGTGGCAGGAGGAACTGAGGTTAAGAAGTGTCCTGGGACTAACGGCTTACCCTTTGCCTCCCTGTCTGCAGCCTCTCCTTGGCTGTTATACTACCTCTCATCCAAGGGGCAGGTGCTTACCTGTGTGGCTCTGTAACAAATATGCGTCTGCTAAGTACTACCCGTGGGGCAGGCTGTTGATTATCATGGTCTCCATTCTGCCATCTATAAAGTGGGGCAACAATCTTATCTCCCTTAAGGCACTAATGTGAGGGTTAAGTAAGTCAAAGCATGGTAAAGTTCTTACCAGAGCTTATAGCGTGTGATAAATATTCAATAAAAATTAGCCTTTATTGAGAAAAACAAGTAATTCTGTAATAGTGGCACAGAAAGGATGTTAAGGCATTATCACTGGCATCAAAATAGTTCTGTGCTGTTTTCAGTCATGGTAATTACTTTTCAATTACCATGAATTTAATTACATAACCACTGTGGAAACAAAATAGGCCATCTATTCTGCACAGCCAAAGAAATCCAGTGGGAGAATTAGACAAGAATGAAGAACAATGTCCACTATCCTCAAACCTCCACTCTCAGCAGATGACCTTTCTTTCTACCTTAAAGAGACATTACAGCTGTCAGGAAGAGGCTCGTGCATGCGCACACACATATCAGGTCATGCCCTTCTATTCAAATTGAATACTACTCCATCTCCTTGACCTCACAATTCCTCTTCCTTCTGGTTGGGACAGACCCGTTTTCAGGGAAGGCTCCTCTTCCATTGGGAGCTCTCATGGCACCAACCCTCTGCATTACTTCACTATCTCCTCCATTAGAATGGCAGCTTCATGAAGGCAGGAATTTGCCTCAGTGCAGAGGAAACTCTAAAAAATACTTGTTAAATGATTAAATGGACACGAGAGTCCTTAGGTTTCTATTAAATTGACCTGTATTTATTAACCAAACTCTCAGAATAACCTCGCTACTATGTTGTTGGTACAGCAACAATTGCAACATAATAAAACTTTTTTCACATATCCTGGGTCTTCTTGGCTGCCGGCTGAGATTCTTTGGATTCAGTTGGTTGCAACAGATAGGTTAAATTAATTAATTTTTTTGTGTGGTGTCCCTGCCCTCCATCTAGGCCTCTGACTTGTATGCCCACTCACATATGTAAGATATGTTGACCAGTCAGCGTGCGGTGACAGGGACGCAGAGAACTACAGGAAAAGGACACCTCCTTGTCCTAGCTTCTTACATACCTGTCTGATTTTTGAGTTACTACAGAGCCTCAACTTCCTAACCTAGCTTTTGGTCTTTACCCTGCATATTAATTTGTTTTAGAATTCTTAAGGTCACCAAAGGAGCTGGCTGTACTGAAGTGAGGTGGCAGCAGTTTGTTCTTCATGCTTCCTTCTCTAGTTGTTCTAGAAACTAAGACAGAAGTCTCCCATACACCTAACCCACACAAGTATCCTGAGCTTGATACACTAAGTCATTTGCTTCCCTCAGAAACACACTACTGATTCCTCCAGGTTCATAAGAAAGAGACCATGTGGAACCTGAGGCCAAAGCAATATAGTTGAGATGGCTCAGACACAGTGGGCAGTCACAACATGATAATCTACAAGTCTCTCCTCTAGAAGAGGCAGAGCAGAGCTTGTGCTGAGGAAAGGACTGTCCTGGGGTCTGATGAGCACACTGTACCTTCACCAAATTCAAGATGATGATGGGAGAGCCAAACCTCTGAAGCATCTGGTCAAAGTGCAGAGCAGCCACATGTGCAAATGGATCTGCTTGGTCCACTGAAGAAGAGAAAGATGGATAAATGCTTGAATGACAATTATAAGGCAAAAGTAAAAGAAGTATAATTTTTTTAATGTTCAAAGAAGTAAAATTCAACTAATCTGGTAGTTTTGCTTCCCAAATCCCTCTCGAGGAGCTAACACTCATTCATTACATATTTATTAAATGTGAATGTATCTTACATTTCTGAAGATATACAACTTACTAACAGTCAAAATGAAGTACAAATTTATTGTGTAAAAATAGTAAAAGTTACTCTTCTAAACTGCCTACCCAAGAGACCAAGCATTTATTAGACTTCTGTGACAATAGTTCATTATCCCTAAATGTGAGTACTGAAGAGCTACGGTTAAAAAGCCTGCATCGAACCCCAGTACAAAAAAACCAACCAAACAAAAACGCCTGCAGCATGTACATGTAATAGGGGGTTTTGGCATCATGGTGGAGATGTCCTGGGACCAGTACAGGGGAACCGAGCCTCTAACTTGCACATAAGAAGAATAACTTCCTGCAGTAAATGACATCACGGATGCATCGCACAGTATCTGTTCAGTCTCTACTTCATTGGCAACATCACCCTGGAAAGAGACATACATTTAAAGATATTTTATGTTCTTAGAATTGTTTAATGAAAAAAGTCAAGAATACAATGAAATTATTATGCCTATCCTTTACAAGTTTTAAAAGAAGTAAATGTCAGTATTTAATATGCACAATAGAAAAGTAAAACCATTAAAATGGAATAAAGAAAAGCAATTCGCCAGGCATAAGGTTGTACATCCCTATAATCCTAGCATTTGGGAGGCCGAGGCAGGAGGAGTGCCACAGGTAAGAAAGAGGCCAGTCTTGGCTACACAGTGATTTTAAGACCAGCCTGTATTACATAGCAAGGCTCTGTCTCAAATGTAGGGTAAATGTTTTGAATTGATTCAGGAGATCACAGCAGTCACAACAGTGCAACTAAAGATACTAACGAAAGAGCACTTTCATAAGTGTTTCAGAGAGTGGCAAGAATGATGGTATAAGGGTGTTTGAAGTGAGGGGGAGGATTCTGAGAAGAATTAATGGCAATATTTAAGTGTAATAAATTTTTTATTTGAACATTCAAAAACAAAACAAAACTAACAAAAAGCAATTAAATGTAGTAGAGAGTAGACTAGGAAAAACATGAAATTAAATAGCTAATAACAAGTAATAGAGAACGGCTTGACTGGTATAAATGGTAAGGAAGGAGAGAAAAGAAAAAAAGTTACATGAGATTATACAGAGATAAGGAGATGAGAATGATATAAAATTCAATTCTGAAGATCAAAGAGGAAAGAAATGACTTAAAAGTGAGTTTCAGTGCTGGGGATTTAGCTCAGTGGTTCTGGCACCTGCCTCGCAAGAGCAAGGTCCCGAGTTCGATCCCTGGTACCAAAAAAAAAAAAAAGTGAGTTTCAAATAGTACCTGATCAGCAGAAGAGAAAAAGGGGGGAAAGATCTGGAGGTAGCTTAACTTATAAAAGTATATAAGGATATAACACAGAATAATATTACAGGAATTTAATAACATGTTTGAGTATCTTTTGAATAGCCAACAGTAAGTAAGATAGCTGCAGAATTCTGATTTTTCTTAAAGTACCTCTACAACTTTCAGTGGTGATATAATCATAAGTACGATGTTGCTATTTCAAGTCAGGATCAAAACCTAGTGCCCCACTCAACCTGTCTGTTCAATTACACATCTGTTCAAAACTCAAGCAGGTTATAACGGGCAAAAATGGAGCATTTCAAACAGATGATATGGCTGATGGCAGGAAGGGTGGATTTTTGTTGTTTTTCTCCAAGTGTGAAAGCAGAAGAGGTCGGGAGGGAAACATGGAAGAGGGCAAAGGGTTTCCCAGGCCTTGTTCTACTCGGCCTTCTCACCATGAATGAAGTCTCAGAGTTGAGGGCTGCTTGCCACTACTTATTCCTTATGCAAAGATACTTTGCTTTGCTGTTTTCATCTGTACATTAAACACATATTACATTTTTTCGTATCTTTCAAAATGGCTCATCCTTGAAAGCATTAAACATTTCGTAGTTGTATTGCACAATTCTTCCTAAGATAGCTGATCTTCCACAAAATTTTTGTATCAGTCATATTTATCATAAGTTTCACCTACTTTGGAGAATTTCTTGTTTCTTGTGATAACACCCCAGACTAAGAAATTCCACTTTTTAAAATTCTACTTTGCTTTATTTATGTCACAAAAGCTGGTGTAACAGCTTACAATGTCAGCAACCACACTATCATCTTACCTCACAGTTCGCGCCTCTCTTGAGAAAACGAGTTCCAGCAAATTTGCTGGATCTTCTAGCTATTAGAGTGACATACACTGGTCGCCCATAGATCAACAGCTCTTAGAAATTAAGTTAAAGTTGTTTACCATTCATGACTGTCAAACAAAACCAAGAGAATTATTATGCCTTAAGTATGCACTTAAATACATCTTGTCCAGTTCCATAAAGCCACCAAAACCTCTACCTGAGGCTGGAACAGCATGGGGTAAATGGTTCTTCAGTGCAGGTATAATGGGAAAATCAGAGTTGAGGGGTTCTTACAACTTTCAGAGGAAGTGGTAACCAAATGCAGTATTACTAGAATAACTGTCTCCTTGTAGCCAGGTAAAGGATGTAAATGAGTACAATTAATCCTTCCTTAGTCTTCAATCATACCTCTCTGAGAAAGCATGTGTCATTTAGTGAGATGTTTAAATCATGAAGCAATATATAATACTGAGTGAGTAAATATAATACTCTAAAAGCAGCCACAACCAGAGCACAGAATGAACTACTGTGAACTGCTTACCCAGCACACAATTTATTAGTTATATCATCTTATTTAACTTTCTGAGCCAATCTTACTGTAAAAAATGAAGTAATTAAAACGTAGCTATAGGTTCAACAACCCCAATCCAAAAATCTAAAATTCAAAACACTTCAAAATCTGAAAAAATCTGAGCACTAACATAAGCCACAAGTGGAAAATTCCACACCTAACCTCACGTGATAGGTGACGTCAGAATCCAGGTGTAGTAAAAATACTGTATAAAATTACCTTTGGGCCAAGTGTTTAAGGCATATATGAATATAAGTGACATGTACCGACTCATCATGTACTGCAAACACATACTAATAAAAAATAAATACTGAAAAAAACCCCATAAATGAATTTCATGTTTGCACTTGGGTCCCATGTCCAAGATATTTCACTGTTCATGCAAATATTCCAAATTCCAAACAATTCCAAAATCTGAAACACTTCTTAAGTACTGTGGACAAAGGATATGCAACCTGTACTTTTGCCAGGTGGCTGGAAAATAAAATGTGGTAACATATGGAAAACTCTTACGTGTGAACTCTGGTAAATATTTAATACACAGCAATTACTTTTATCATCTCTAGTCCCTAGAATTCATGAAATGCTTGGTAATCAAGAGACTAGACTCATCACATAAACTGATAAAATGATAATCTGTGATGCTGTCTGCTACTTTAAAAAATAAACATGTTTAATACATGCCAGGCCCCAAGCTAAGTCTCAGAAATATAAAACAGTTTAGAACTATATTTTAGAAATGGCTTTTAGAAACCATTGCACATACTCTTTGGTATCTTTGGTGGTGAAAAACTTGAATTCTTCCCAGGCAGATTTCATTTTTGGAAACAGACAAAAGTAATAAATCTCATGACACTGTGACTTATTGAGCAGAGACTACTACTCACTGTTGAAAATGCTCATAGAGTAATAAGCCTGATTTTCAAGTATAACACATCCATCTCACTCATATCCATTTCAAAATCCCCATGTCTGCATCTAGCCTCTCCTCTCCCTCACTTGCCACAAAGAGGCAGCAACATCTCTGGCTGCACACCTTGGCTCTGCACCTCCCAAATATGCTCCAGCAAAAGAAGGCACATTGGGCCAGGGATTTAGCTCAGTGGTTCCACTGCCTGCCTCGCAAGCGCAAGGACCCAAGTTCGACCCCGGGTACACACAAACACACACACACAAAAAGGCACATCATAGCCACATTCACCCACGTTGTGGTCTCAAAGCAACTATTCCTTTAAAGCTTTCTTCTAACATCTTACATCTAAGACATATGGAAGAATGTCAAATAAAAAAGACACTGGTGGGTAAGTTCCCTGCATTATCTCAGAAAGTGACAAATGCCTAAACCCAATTTTAGACAGTAAACACTGCTCTCCTAAACTTTATTGTCATTCTTTCTTTTTTTTTTGGTACTGGGAATTAAACTCAGGTCCTTGCGCTTGTGAGGCAGGTGGCGGAACCACTGAGCTAAATCCCTGGCCCTCTCCTAAACTTTATAGTATTGGACCTTCTTGAAAGGATTCAACAGTAGCTGGAAAGTAGATGAAAGATAAAAACTACAGAAGAAAAAAGTTTTCATGAAATTGGACCCTAAGTTCAACCTACTTCTAATCTGTTATGCCTATGTTATGATTTATATCTAGATGCTCCCCCAAAGTCTCATGCACTCAAAGGTGGGGCTGTTGGAAGGTGATTGGATTATGGTATATTAGAACTGACCTGCTGTGTCACTGTGGGTGTGATGTGACCCAGAAGGTTGTATCGCTCTTCTTGGCTTGTCCTCTGCTCAGCTCTCTGCTTCCTGGCTACCATGACATGAGCATCTTTTCCTCTATCATATTCCTCTGCCATGCTGCCCTGCCTTGGAGCCAGTGGACTATGGACTGAAACCTCTACAAACTGAACCAAAGTAAATCTCTCCTCCTTTAAGTTGCAGTTATCAGGTATTGTGTCTTGGTGAAAAGGAAAGTGACTAAGACAGCCCCCTTCCGATCCAGGCTTCACTGTATTATGCCTGAACTGGCTTTTTCTAACTCATTATCTCTTGTTCTAGTCTCATTTTCACTTAATCTTGAAAATGGCTGTAGACTGAAGCCTTCTAAATACTTCATCATCATGAACAAAAACTTACAAAAGTTCCAGCACAAAACCCAAAGTCCTTAGCCTGACTACCAAGGTACACTGGTGACTGGCAATTGGACTCCCACCTTCCTACAATACCTACCTTCCTGGAGTTTTATACATGAGTCATGAAGTTTTCCACTTCTACTTTCATGGTGCTTCCCCAACCACAATTTCTCTTTCTCTCTCTTGCCACTCCAATCTCACTCTCACTGGTAAGGCCTGACTTCTGTTTAGGTCTTAGGTTAAGTTCTGTTTCCATGGGCCTGTCTCATCCTCTCCACCCATCAAGGACTCTGCTCCTGCTCCGAGGTAGTCATGGTCCTTATTATCTATAACACTTACTATGCACATAGCATTTTCTTCCTTTTTATTAATTTTTCTGTATGCATATAAGCTCTGTTCAGTCTGATTTCTTCTTTGTATTTCTACTACACAGCATCATGGGTAACTTTTCCTGTTGGGGTGTGCAGAGTGATAATTATAAACTTATAATTTGTATGCATTTTTCTACAAATTGGTACAGCAATAAGTATCTTAAGCTTTTACAAAAAGGATACTCGACTGTCCACAGAACCCATGAATAATATATAACAACCAGTCACGATGCACACTATTTTTAATTATATCCAGAAGTTGGCCGTTCCACACATACTTCATGTAAGGTTCACTACAGATCCCAAACACACCTGAAAAATAAGTCAGTATGAGAAAGATAAGAAAACTGATAGACATTAAACTCATTTTTAAGTTCTTCCATTTCTGTTTTTAACTGTAAAATAAGATGCCTGATTAACAGTATTGCCATTTTCAGTGGATAGTGGATATCACTCATTTCTGTATTCAGAGCACTGTTCCACACAAAGTCACAGAGAAAGGCATTTTCTGATTTGTGACTTTTTACTTAAAAGAAAATGAGAGGGAAATTAAGGAGACATATACGAATACATGAATGAAGCCAAGAGAGGGCAGACAGTAGCAGCTGAGCACCTGGGGTGGAGTCCGAGCATCCTGGCTGGCTATGCCTCTCTTTGACAGTATGACCAGCTTGATAAAGAGTTTTACTTTCTTGGAGCTTCCATTTTCTCCTCTGTCCCTGCATTGTGTGCTTGTTGTAAGGATGAAATAAGTTAGTAATGCACACCACCTGCTTAGTTCAAACCTGGTGCATTACTCACACTTCCCTAAGTAGTACTTCTTACTATGTCAGGCCTTTTCCATATGAACAAGTTAATTTCACCAAACATGGTTTCAGCATACCCAAATATCTTTATTAAACAGCAATGAGTTTCACAAAGCTTAAAAATAGCATATATATGAGCTTAAAAGATTATAAGAGGTCTGGGCAGCAGTCAATCAATATAATTTTTTCTCTCAAAACTTGATCTATTAAGAGTATTTATACATTATGATAAATACCCTGTGTTTTGATTTATGAAAACCAAACTTTCTCTGCCTTTTCAATGTACCACACAAGAACATGAATAATACAGATACTGGCTGGCTCTGTCACCTTAGGCATGTTACTTAATATCTCCATTTTCTAAACTATAAAATGATGATACTGTTATTCACTCTAAGATGTTTAAATTAAGTTTATACAAAGTCCCTAATATACTGTCTGATACACAACAGATATATATATATTTTTTAAAATACATAGTATTTTCCTTTGTTTTTACCTACACCCCCACTTTCTACTCTCATTCTTTATTTCCTATTGTTTTCCCCCTGTATGGTAGGAGAATGATCCCTAACCACAGCAAAGATGTCAGGAACCTAACCACCTAACTCTAACCCTATGAGTATGTAATATTACATGGCAAAAGAAATAAAAATATACATAGATTAAAGCTGCTAATCAGATGAGCTTGAGCCATAGTGATTATTCTGGATTATTCACATGGCCCTATACATCATAGGATGTTTATAAGTGAAACAAGAAAACAAAAGTTTGAATGTTAGAGTGATGTAATGTGGAAAAGCAACTCAGCTGGAGCCTGCTGGCTGTGAAGCTGGACTGGAGGGAGTCAAAGGCCAGGGATGAGGGCATTGCCTAGAAAACAGAAAGGGCAAGAAAAGGGGTTCTCCAGAGCCTCTGGAGAAGAATGCAGTCTGCTGACACCTAGCAGTTAGCTCACTGTGACTCACTTTGGAGTTCTGCCTTTCGTATGATAATAAATGTTGTTTTAACATGTTCCTGCCAGCTTGAACAACCCGTGGCACATGCATGACTATCCCATGCTGCTGATGGGACAGTCATACATGTACCATTGGTGGTTCAAAGCTGCCTGGTAGCAAGGCATATGAATACAATACTATATAATTGAAAGTGTCATTCAGCAAATCATCAGACACACTAGATGTCTTGCCCTCTATCTATCTATCTCTAGTGGTTTCATTTATAATGCGGGAAAGCCAGGGATTTAGCTCAGTGGTTTCGCCGCCTGCTGCGTTTATAATGTAGGTGTCTGAGCCAAGGCAAATCCATGTGATCTAGATGATCTGAGGGTGTGAGGGTGTCCTGAACTTGATCTTTGCTCAGGTGATAATCAGTAAACTAAGCAGAGTTGAGGGCAATGGCAGGATAATGTTCATTTCAGTAACTGCCTATGAGTAGACAGAACCTTTGGGAAAGCACTAGTAGATCACAGCTTCTTCTTGAGTGTCTTACAAAGAAAAGCCTTCTAGGTCCATTCTAGGTTGGATTCAGCCTCTACAGCCAGATCTTTATCACTATCATTTAAGTTGCATGGCAAGGGGTGCAAACACACTGTTGACTTAGTGTGCTCCCACAGTTGGGTCTAATTCACCTAAGTATCTTACGTTTGAAATTATTCCTTCACAACATTTGCATTAGCAATGCCTCCAGCTTTAGAGTTCCAGAAAAACCCAAGAAGCTTGCAATAAAGGGACTGATTAAGAGGGATAAAGGTACTATGTCTGGTTTAGTGCAGGATCTCCAGAGGCACCTAGACCAGCCACGCAGTGGTCCTACAGGATCTGACAGTGGTCCTGAAAAGAAGCAGATATAATGAGGGACTAATGGGTTCAACTGGGAACAATTAAAGTAATCACAGCCTCTGCCCTCCTTTATTGACTTTTCTGAATATTGGCTATATAATCTTTATCTCTGGGGCTCACTTTCTTACTTAGTATTTATTTCTATAAAACTGGCATTAACTTACTGAGCAGTTTTTAGGAGGCTTAGAGATACTACATGTGATAACAGGCAACCCCTGATGACTTTTCCCCAAAACTCAGTCCATGTCAGACTGATATCTAGGAAGGAAAATAAGATAGTGTGTAGTGTATCCTCCAATATTAAAAAAGTTCTGCATTTAAACTTCAACAAAAGTCTAAAACTGAATATATCCATAAAAAGTGCATGATTAATAGCTAAAAAATGCCAGCAGAGCCAGGGGTGGTGGCACAGGCCTGTAAACCCAGCACTCAGGAGACTGAGGCAGAAGGTTTGCTGTGAGTCTGTGGCCAGCCCGGGCTACACTGTGAGGCTTTGAATCAAAAAGCCAAAAAAAAAAGTAATTTTCTGATTGGTGTACAAATGAAACCACATGGTGATTAATGATCTCTATGAAAATGAATTGGTTAAGTTCATGTATCCAAAACAGGCCCCTGTAAGGATAAACAGCACTGAGGGAAGGAGAAATGCAAGTGAATTTAATGAGATGACATCTCACGATGCTGCACTACACATTAAATCTGCTGAAACCACCTACCGCTTCCACCCTGTGTAATTAATCCTTCATCTTCAAAGATGTCAAAACTCTCCTGGCGAGTCTGGGTTGTTTCTGATTTTAACATCTCCAGGGGCATTCGCAAAACAGTAAGATTATATTGAAGTGAGTGGGACAAATCATAACTGTAACTGAGAAGAGAATTGATACTTAAGAATTACAAAGGCAAAGCATATTTTATGGTCTTAGTTCCCATCTGGAAATAAAATCTGCAAGCTAAATTAATCAGTACCTGTAATTTCACTTGGAAACAATGCTGTTCAAAATAGTATTCTAAAACACGGCAAAATATGAACATGATTGGAAATAAAAACTAACTGCATGAATTAGGAATCTGTATGACAAATATACGAGTACTATATATTCACTGATTTGTACAACATGCATTTTTTGCTTCACACTGAAATCAATCAAAATTCATGGTCTTGTTCAAAGGAGTCAAACATACAAGGTTCTACAGATACAATATCCACTGTAAGAGTACATGGTTCTGCATCCTGATTTATACACAAAGAATATTTGATTAAATATTAATGGTGATATCATAACTGACTTCATAATAAAAAATAAGCAAAAAACTTAAACAGCAAAACATGTTTTAGGAGAATAAAAGCCATATAAAAATTATCAGTTTCTGTTAATTATCATTATAAAATTATCAGTTTTCTAAATAAAATTTAACCTTTAGGCCAAAAGAAACTTGTTACAATTTTTATTTCACATAATTAATAATTTTTATATTTATCACTAGCTATATATTTTTAGACTTTCAGAAGGTATCTTGGATATTTATATAGGTTTATATAGATTTATATAAGTTTGCTTTTAAAGTATTTTAGTAAAATCTTAAGATGGTTACATTTCTATTTGGAGAGTCACACATACTAACATTTCTTTAATTTATTTATATAATTTGATTCAAACTGATTTTAGTTTCATCTGTGAAATTCAATTTTACCACATTTATTTGATAGGTTCATTCATTTTAGCAGTATAGGTAAAAGCTGTATTAAGAAGTTGGTTTCTGACTTCTAACAATCAATTTTTCCTATTTAAAACAACTGCTTTATTCTAGCTGAGCCTTAAGAGGGAAATTCTTGTATTTTTTTTTTTTTTTTTTTTTTGGTTCCAGAGATTGAACTCAGGACCTTGCACTTGCAAGGCAGGCGGTGGAACCACTGAGCTAAACCCCTGGCCCGCTGTATTTTTTAAAAAATAGAATTATTTCTATTAAAATACAAGTAGCACTGCTATGTGCTCTCCTTGTGTTTTTAGCCCCTGGAAAATAATAAAGAACTTTAAGTGACCGATTGGAACAAAACAACTCAAACTTACCTAAAGTAAAAATTGCTAGAGAGGTCGACATTTTGAAAGATTCGCAGATATCTTGAAAAAAAAAAAATCAAAGCACATTTCATTCATATACAATAATATTGGTTTTCACAGCTTAAATATACACACACACACACACACATATAAGTACATGCAAATATATTCATTAAATTGAGACATTCAAGCCAGCTCTAGAATAGTTGATCTAATGCAGATCTCAGTCTGTTGAAAATCCCTCAGAGACCCTTAACTTCATAGTTTGACTGTTCCTTATCACTGAATATGGCAGACAGAGGCAAAGTAACAGAGCACGTAGATGAGGGCAAGACAGAACTAAACACTGTTTTCACTTTTACAATGTGCTTTGAAAATACTTTGAGGATGGAGAGAGAGTAGTAACAAAAACAAAATGTTGGATGGTCACCATAATTTTAAATTGGAAAATTTAACTGAAAAAAGGTATAGAATAAAATAGCCATATATAGAGAGATTCAACATGCCTGAATAGAGGAGTCACTTTGGATCTACTCAGAGAAAAATCAACTGAAAACCCAAGTAGCTGGCAGAAAAAAAGGAACATACATCCTGATGCCAAAATCAATCTGAAATAAGGACTAGTAGATCAAATAAAACATAGGCACAGGAATTCATTAAACAGCACATTAGCCCACAAGGCTATCAGCAGTGTGGGCAGTGCCAAGCAAGAATCGCCATACTGGGAAGTCTCCAAGAAACTGATGGACTGAAAAAAGTGCAGCTAACTCAAGCCACACAGGATAGATTTGGGGGAAAAAAGGCCTCTTGTCGCTTTTGCCTTTCTCCACACAAAGGATGCTGCAGCCCGGCAGCAAATTTTGCTGGCATACAGAGGCAAGTGACCAGAAATCTGCTCCCTCCCTGAGGGATTGGCCCCTAGCCTTTCCCCACCCCTTGTGTGTCCTAGCAGCTAACTGGAAAACCTAGAGACTGCAAAGTTAGAGACTGCAGCACAATGAAGGTGAGGAAAGAAGTGAGTGGTGATGAGTAGCTTGAGAAAAAGATGCAGATGTGCATGCCGGAATTAGCCTCGGGTTGGCACTTAACCCACTGGAGAGGAGACTGAAGTGGAACTGAGCAGCCTTGGGCGGCATGCACAGCTGTGACAGCACCCCCATACTCCCAAGTGGCAGGACAGGATAGAGAAGTGCCAGCGGGGGTGAAACAGAGGGGGCTATGAAAAGACGGTATAAAGCCAACTGTACATGGAACTGGGAGCAGCCTCCGGCTCCCTGGCTGAGGGCCACAGCAACCCACTGTAAGTTGGCTTGGGTGGGAAGGAGAGAAACATCCAAAAAAGCTGCTAGCTAATGACTGGCCCCAGCTCCCACAAGATCAATCCTGTACCCAGTACTAATCCTACTGCAGACTTGGTGAGTGTACACAGTACAGTTTTGGGATAATACCTGCTTTGGACACTACCACAGAATTGTGGACGCCAGAAGAATTTTATTTTATTTTTGTATTCTTTGTTGGTTTTGTTTCCTTTTTCTGTTTAGTTGGTTCTTTTTCTTTGTTGTTTAGGTTTTTCCCTTTATTTTTATCTTGTTCTACTCATCTCCTTTCTCTCTTTCCCCAACTATCTCTCTTGAATTTATGATATTTTCATGTGAGTGAAAATTGTGTTTTCTCTTTCTGGTTCTCTTTGATATTCTTTTGCTTTACCCTTCATGCTTTCTCTCCTGCCCTCTTCTCTAGGTTCCCAAAGTTTGGGTGATCATCTGTTGTCCTCCAGCCTTGCCTCTACTACATTTCCTTCATTTATCTCTGTTTTGCCCCTTATCCCTCTTAAATTTCCTCCCAGAGGGTAAAATCACTCCACTAAGCAGAAACTCACTGCATACAAGTTCCTGGTTTATGTTAGATTATGTTATATAACTGTAGGTCTTGCTCCCTGTGGTTATAGGTACCAAATTAATAGTTACCACAGTGTGTCAGTTTCTAGGCTATGCTTGATGTTAATGATATTGTTAATTGTACTACTTTAGCCAAGATGTCATACCTGTTATAATCAGTTGCTCTCCCTTGTAGGACAACACTGTGAATGTCTGGGGCCATAACCATCACTATACTCCAGTACCAAACAACTGGGTGCTGAATCAAATAAATAGCAACTTCTTATCCTTAATAAATTGGGAAGGTAGGATCTCGGGACAGGGCTGGGGATTTAGCCCAGTGGTTCCGTCGCCTGCCTCGCAAGCACAAGGACCCAAGTTCAATCCCCGTTACCAAAAAAAAAAAAGGATCTTGGGACAGGCACAAAGACCAAAAGCCACATATAGGGAAGCTTCGATACTAGTAATAAAGTTATCTGCCATAAGAAATTTACAAGCATCAATACCAAAAACAAAACACCCCCCCCCAAAAATAGAAAATGACAAGATACAGAAGCAAAATGCAATCCCAGACCTCCAGCCCACGTAGGACAAGACCAGGGGACAAAGAGATAGAGGAAATTGGAAGTCACCCACCTGAATTTTCTGAAATGATTGCAGCAGAAGTATAAAACAGATGTATGAGGTTATAGAGAAAATAATCTCTCAGGTAAAAAGAGAAATGATGATCAAAATGAAGGACATGCTCAATGAATCTAGAGTAGATACAGATAAAAATAAATGGAGGAGCTTAGGAAAATGATGGAAACCATGTGGTCCAACACAGGAAAGAAATGGAATCCACAAAACAGATTCAAACAGACATTCAGGAGATTAAAAATTCCACTGAAAGTATATGTAATAGACTAAATGAAGACAAGGACAGAATTCCTGATCTAGAAGACAGGATTGCAGTTAAAAACCATAAAAAGAAAGATATCTTAAAAATGGCAAGAGACCATGAAAAATCAATCCAACAGCTGCAAGATGATGCAAAGAAAAACAGTGTAAGATTGATTGGAGTCAATGAGAAAGCTGGAGCTAGCAAAAATGCCATAAAAAGCCTGTTCAAAGAAGTAAGGGCAGAAAACTTCCCAAACATGAAAAAAGAATTTGACATACAAATAAGTAAGGCATATAGAACTGCAATTAGCTATGACCCAAATAAATCTACACCAAGGGATATAATTATTAAGATCGCAGAAATTCAGCACAAGAACAGAATATTAAAAGCTATTAGAGAAAAGAAACAAATCACTTACAAAGGAAAGTCCATCAGAATCATAGCAGACCTCTCAATGCAAACCCTTAAGTCAAGGAGAGCTTGGAGTGAAGTATTTCAGGTTCTAAAAGAAAACAATCTCCAACCCAGATTGATACACCCTGCAAAACTATCTTTCAAATTCAATGGAGAAATAAGATACTTCCATGACAAAGAACAACTGAAGAAACTCATGAGAACCAAACCAGCTCTACAAGATGCACTGAAGGATATTTTAGAAAGAGATAATGAAGATCAAAATTCGAAGAACACCAATAGAAAGCAGCCAACAGAGAAGCCAAATAATTTAAACAGAGGAGAGAAGGAATCAACTGCAGGAAAATAATATGACAAGGATAAGCCAATACATGTCAGTTATAACCATCAATGTAAATGGTCTCAATTCACCAATCAAAAGAAACAGACTGGCAGAATGGATCAAGAAGAAAAGATCCCTTGGAAACAGCCCATTGCCCATCAACTGGAGACTAGATAAAGAAGATGTGCTTTTTTTTTTTTTATAAAATGGAGTACTACTCAGCCATAAAGAGAAACTAGAGACATCTATAGCTAAATGGATGCACACTGAGGTGATACTCTTAAGTGAAATAAATAGGACACGTGTAAATACTAAATAGTTTCTCTGGTGTGAAAAACTAAAAGTGTAAATAAGGATCAAAATATATAATTGATAATGTGAAATAGGAAGAAAAGGTCTAAAGGAGTAGGAGAAGTGGAAGGGGTAGGGGAAAGAAGGGAAAAGAAAAAAATATGAGAAAAGGAAAAAATGGAAACAAAGTTTTTGTAAATAGGGAAGGGTGGAGGGGGTAAAGGGAGAGCAGGGGGATGGGGAAAAAATAAGAACTAAGATACATCACATAAAGGTACAAGATCCTAATGATGAATGTAACTGTATTGTATACCTAAAATGTACCAATAAACCTAATGGAGGGGGGAGAAAAAAAGATCCAACAATATGCTGCATATAAGAAATACATTTAACCCAAAAAGAAATTCACAGACTAAAGGTCAAATGATGGAAAACAATACTACATGGGATAGGACCTGGAAAAAAGCAGGGGTAGCTATTCTATTTGCAGACAAAGTGGAGTTTAAGACAAAGCTGACTAAAAGAGACAAAGGTCACTACATCCTTGTAGACAGTACAATCCAAGAGGAAGAGATGATAATCATAAATCTATATGCACCAAAATACCAGTGCATCCAACTATGTAAAACAAATATTAACAGGCATGAAAAAAATCAAATAAACACTAATACAATTTTAATGGAGGACCTCAATAAACCACTGTCACAAATAGATAGATCAACTAAATAAAAAAATCAACAAATAAATATCAAAACTGAACCAAACCTGTGACCAAAGGGACTTAGTGGATATCTACTGAGTGTTCCACCCCACAACATAAGAATAAACATTCTTCTCAGCTGCACATGGGACACTCTCCAAAACAGACCACATACTAGCCCTTAGAATATGTTTAAGTAAATACAAAGGAATTGAAATTATCCCATGCATATTATCTGCCGTAGTGCAATGAAATTGGAAATCAATGGCAAAAGGAACCACAATAACTCCATAAACACATGGAAATTAAATAACACCCTCCTGAACAACCAAGGCATCAGAGATGAAATTAAAGAGGAACTTAAACAATATATACAATTAAATTATAACATCAATATAACCTACTGGAATTTATGGGATACAATGAAAGCAATCTTAAGAGGGAAATTTACAGTGGGAAATTCTCACATCAGGAAAACAGAACAAGCTCAAATCAGTAACTTAATACTGAACTTCAAATGTCTAGAAAAAGAAGTCAAGCCCAAAGCTTGGATGAGGGAGGAAATTATAAAGA